GGAGGAGGATTGGGGGACTGCTGAAAGGAGTGAGAATCGAGGTAGCGGGTGTGGCCTTTAGAAAAATTGCTCTGTGCTTTGTTGGGTTGGTTCTGAAGCTGCAGCAGAATCATGATTAACCTTTTCTGCAGAAGGTAATGAGAGCAAGGCTCAAGTCTGAGTGGATAAAGAAACGTATGGGGGTCTGGCCCCAGCCCACTCGGGTTACAGCCCCAGAAGAGCTGTAATGGGGAACAGGCACATTCCTGTGCAGCGACTCCCAACTTCCTATCTGTTTTCAAGGAAAGAAAAACAGAAAAAGAATGTTAGAGGCTTGGGCAGGCTTGGGTGAGGCCGAGGCGGCAGCCTGGGTTCTAGGAAGGTTCTACCACGTGGCCACAGCAGTGTACCAGGGAGGAGGGGGCAGAGGCCTCTTAGGCGGAGTGGCCTAGTGGAAGGTATATGTAGCTCAGATGCAAATGAGCTGGGCTTGATTGTGGATTAGGGTACAACATTCCTAAGCCTCTGCATTTCTATCAGGGAATGTGGCACAGTCTGGGGGTTCAAACATTTTAAGCAATAAAACTTTAAAACTAAGGTTTTATGAACAGTTTTTAAAACAAAAAGAAAAACTAAGAAAAACATGGACCATTAATATATAAAATGGATCAAACTGGAGTTGTTCTAGTTGGAGCTTAGTGTCGTGGGGAAGACTGGCCCCAGCCTCTCCCCTTATGAGTGTTCATTGGTACCCCTGGAGTTGTATATATTTTAATTTGCAAACCACTGTTGGAATATGTGACATTTTGGAAACCTACTCAACTCCTGTCTCTTCTGGACTTCGTATCTTTCTCAGAAATTCCAGATTTAAGAAGACGACAAAGTGAAATCAGGCACCTAGCACAGCACTTAGTGCATAGTGAATGCCCAGTAACTGCAAATCTCTCACATGCACATTGAATACAATGGTCAGAAATTGAAGAGGAAGGGCTCCCGTGTTAGCTTTGAAAGCTTTTCAATTTTCAGCATTTTTATCTCATAGACTGCAGGAGTCAAGACACCAGGTTTTTGTCCCAAATCTACTTCCCACTCTATTTATGGCCATGCACATGTCATTTTCCTTCTCTGATCTTCAGTTTTGTCACCTGTGAAAAAAGTTTGGATAAAAAAAAATATAATCTTTAAGAGTCCTTATCTCTACTCCGTTGTGATGATGACAAAAATAAGAACAACAAAAACAATGATAGTTAATATATGTTTTGAGATCTTACTATGTGCCAGACATTTGACTAATTGACTTGTATACAAGTTTTTTATATGATATCCACCACACTATAAATCAGATACTATTATTATTATGCCCATCTTACAGATGAGAAGCCATATGTAAAGAGTTAAGGAACTTGTCCAAGGCAAGCTGTAAGTTGGGGTGTATGAGAATTTAAGGCTAGGCAGCGTGAACTTAGAGCCCAAGCTCTTAACCACTGCACTATGTTATTGCTCTTTCAACTCTACCATTGCCAGATACAGAGTGTAGTATATTGTGGAGTCACACTACATTGGTGAATTGTACTGATTTGCATTTGTGAAGAGAGAAGTCCCCAGGTCTTTCTTAGTACCCCCTCTCCACTAAGTGAGGAAGAACACTGAGGAGTTACTTCGTCCACCTGTCTCCATCCAAGTTGCATTTAAACCTTTTGAGATAGAGTGCCAAAAAAAGCAATCCCATAATTTACTTTATAGGTTTGTTCTTGTATTTAACAGTCCTTCCTCTTGTCAGATTACAAGCTGTAGAAGGTCAGGGACCATTTCTTTTATTGTCTCATTCCCCAAACCCATAGAACGAAGGGAGTGGAGTGAATTCAAGTGGGGATTGAATAACATTGAGAAATCTCACTTTCTAACACTATCATTGTAAAACTTTCTCTAGGAGGCAGCATCGTACAATGGAAAACTCATGGCTTTGGAGTTAGACAGATAAGGGTTCAAATCTCTGTGCTTCCTAACTTTGTCATCTTAATCTCAGCTCTACCATGGGTATGATAAAATCTAACTTGTCGGGTCACTTTGAGGATTAAATGAACAAAAAGGAAAGTATGTACTAAATGTCATTTTCTTTCCTTTTAACGTTTTTCATTTGAAGGCCATTATATAGTTCCAACTAGAATTGGGCACTGAATATCCTCATAATCACCTTGACGTGACTAATTATACTCCAAGTTATCTAGTTCCTTCACTCGAATTAAACCCATAAGCCTTAGAATTCTTTAGAACAGTGCTGATCTTACTGACCTGACATGTATGTGGGGTTTTTAATCCATGATCCAAATGATTCTGAAATTCACGGAAAATCTGGAAAGCTGTGCCCGTTTGAAAATGAATGTCAGCCATCTTCTGGCTTCAAGGCAGTTAATTAATCCAGGCCACAAGCAGACCAAATTCCGTCACGAGGAGCCAGCTCTTTCAATGGCTATCTGGAAACAAATCGAAAAGCAGACAGACATGGATCCCAGCTCAAAGAAAACAAATATGAGCAGCCAGACTGAGAAACCAAGTGAAACAAGACCCTCACTCCATCCAGTGACTACTCCCATGCATTCCTCTCTCTCTCTCTCTTTTTATTTTTAACTTTTCACGCCACACGTTGCTCTGCTTTGATAGCTATGGGAATGAAGATATCGTTGGTTTGTGATTGTACTGGGAGCAGCTAACATAAGAAATGTGGGATGCCACAATTTGTGGTGAATAGAAGTTTCATTCACCTCCTTGTTTTCCAGTAAAATCTCTGGTTCTGGGCATCTCTGTTTCTTTCTAGACTCTTGGCTCTACTTTCTAGACTCCAGACCCATAAAAGAGCCATTGGCCCCTCGCAACAAAGAGGAAAACTGAGACGTTGAGAGGTTTAAGGACTCTCAACCAAGGGTGGACATGGAATTCAGTCCCAGGTCTGTTTTGCAATGGCACCTGAAACTGCATGTTGCGGTTGTTGACATCAGCCTGCTTTAGACACTCGCTCTGGCATGTACATGTCAATTCTATGGACGGTATATTGCCCTTTTTGAAAAAGGGAAAACAAAAAACAGAAGCCATCAGAACTACTCTACTGGACAAGAGGGACAAACACATTATGAAACTGTTGTTCAGCTGAGTCCAAGGCCATCCGAGCAATTCAGTGAGACAAATGGTACAAGATTCCCTTGTGAGGCTAAGAATGAAACATTTTTTTAAAAACTCTGCTTCTTTAGGATTGAAACTTTTCTTTGAAAGAGCAACAGGAAGTGATCTGTATATTCTGCCCAATCAGTGCTGTGATAGAGAAGCACCAAGTGTTTTCAAACACTTGGCCAACATTATCCTTCCCGTATGGTTTCATTGCATTGGTTTATTCTTAATCCCAGGTAGCGAGGATGTAATTGGACTGGCATCCTCCTCTTGTTTATTATTGAGAATATGCGTGAATAGAGAATCTGAGGAACTCTACATCAGGCACAAAGAGAACAATAAACAACACTTGGGAGGCCTCATATAATTTCCTACTGCACTATAAAATACCTCACATGTCAGTTTTGCTCCTAAATTATCCAATTTTAGAATTGGAAGGGAACTAAGAGGCCATTTAGTCTGGCTCATTTACTTTATCTATTTTTAAGTAATTTTTATTGATTTTTTTTCTTGTTACAAAAGCAATATATGTCTATTGAATTTAATTTAAAAATAGAGATAAGCAAAAATAAAATAGGAAAAGTGCTCATTATCTCACTCTCCAGACAGAGCCACTATTAAGCATTTGCTTTATTTTCTTCCTTCTGTTTCTAAATACAGGTATATATAAAATTTCCACAAAATTAGATTATTCTGTAATAGCATAACCTATTTTTTAACTTCATAATGTGTCATGAATATCTTTTCATATACTTCATATTTTTCTATAAGTTATTTTAATGACTATAAAATATCCCATTGCATCATTGAACCACAATTGATATAGCCGTTTCTATATTGTCGAACACTTGTTTCTAAATTTTTGCTAGTATAAATAGTACTGCAATGTTTGTCCTTACGACTTTTTTCTTTTATGATGGGAATTTTTATTGCCCTTACAACTTAATCTTTCTGCACATCTCTGTTTTTATTTTATTTTTTCTAGAATCCCAATAGTGATACTAGTACCTTCATCTTATAGAGGAGAAAACTAAAGCACAGAGATGGGAATGTAGCTGCCCAAAGCTGTAATAGTTTAGCAGCACTAAGACTAGATCCCAAGATTCCAGATATTTAGTTATTTTTTGTAGTCTTCCTTACTCTTTAGTCTTCTCAATTAGTTCTCTTTCTAGTAAACTTAAGCTGCTTCCTAAAATCCAATGACTAGGTTGACTTTTAAAAAAGCATGGAATTGGAGGATCACAAATATATGGTGTTTATTCTAACACTGTTCCATCCTGAAGCATGACCTTCATCACTAATCAATACTAGAACTCTTTATTCCTTAGCTGTACTAGGTCTCTGTCTTTCTCAAGGTAACACTCCATGAATCCAATACCAGTGTACAATAAAGGCCATTTGACATGAAAACTATTTTACATCCTTAGTGCAACTCCTTTTTTATAAAAAGAAGAAAATTGCAATTCCAAGAAAGAAGGACCGTGTTTAGGGAGTTAAGAAGGAGTTCATGGTAGTGACAAGGCTAGAATAGTTACTCTGGGCAGAAAGAAAGCACAGTCCTCTTGTCACCTTTTCATGCATTTCCATTATACAGTAATTTACTTCATTTGAGCCTTGCTACAGTCTTACAAAGGTAGGTACTAGCATTCCCACTTTACAGGTGAAAAAATTCACACATAAATTTGAACAATGAGTCATCAGAGCTATATATTAATCTGTATCATTTTTATATCTTATGGTTTTTTTTTTTTTTTGGTCCAGTAATCCTCCTGATAATGGTATCCAGACATTTTGTAGGTTTGGATGATAGCAAGAATGTCTGCTCACTGAGGAGCTCATCTTTCTTTGTCTGCTTCCAGGAGAATTCCTGAGTTTTGCTGATGACTTACTCTCTGGCCTGGGCACATCTTGCGTAGCAGCTGGTCGAAGCCATGGAGAGGTCCCTGAAGTCAGTATCTACTCAGTCATCTTCAAGTGTCTGGAGCCCGACGGTCTCTACAAGTAAGACGTGTTGGGTGCGTGGGAGCGTGAAGCAGACAGAATGATTTTAAGCCAACAGGAACGGCATGAGGTATTCTGTCCAGGCCAGCCAAATGTTTTATTGGCCAGCCTGTATGTGCATCTTGAGATTCTAAGGTTTAGAAGTGTCCATTTGGGACATAGACCAATGGAACAGAACAGAGAACCTGGATATAAAACCATCTACCTACAACCAACTGATCTTTGACAAAGCAGACAAAGGTGTACACTGGGGGAAAAGAAGCCCTATTCAATACATGGTGCTGGGAAAATTGGATCACACAAGGTTAGTGCTGAAGGGTCCAGGAAGGCCAGAAATTCAAAAGCATTCCTTCTACTGATGGAGAACCTGCAGCCCAGAGAGCAAAAGCATCTTACTTAAGATAGTAGGGAAAGTTAATCAAGGAGAGCTAAAATAGGAATCCCTGCCTAATGTTCTTTTATCTCTTCTGTGCAGTCTTCTCTTAAAAATATTACATTAGCATATCTCAGAGGTATATACATATAAACTTGTGTATATACACACTAAGATACATTAATACATATATATTGAGATGTATATCCTGATATATAATTTTTATTAATAGACTCAGCCTCTTAGAAATAGTGCCATTATTACTCCTTTGTAGAATACACTGGAGTCACTGCATGCAAAATTCTGGAGATCCAAGAGAAAGTCAGTCTTGGAAAAGAAAATAAGTTAATTTTTTGTTTTAGTTTTTGTTTTTTCCCACCTTGATGGGTGTTGCTACATCTGGATACAGCCATCATAAGCTATAACACAGAGTTCTAGAGGCCAGTTCTCCTCATGTACCCTGATTATGAAACCATAGAACACCTCCCTTATCAACCTAGAAAGCTGAAATTGTTAAGAAGTTGAGCTTTATTCACTAGTTCTCCAACTAATTTATTTATTCTTTTATTTATTCACTCCATGATTGATTCACTCATCCATTTATGCATCCATCAACCCAAACATTCATCTATCTTCCATTCATTGCTCCTTCTCACCCTTCCCTCTCTCCATACATCCATCATCATCCATCCATCCATCCATCCATCAGCCCTTAAACTCCTTCATTTCATTAACTTATTCATTTATCAGTTATTTCATTCTTTCACATATTTATTCACTCATTCATAGCTCACTTACTTATTCAGCAGACATTTTCTGAGGAATTCCTGTATCTTGGTACTCTGCTAGAGACTACAGTTATCAATGTGACTAAGACAGAGATCCTTTTCTCTGATACCTTATAACCTAATGGTTGTATGAAAGGCTACAGACTATGGATTCAAATCTGGCTTTGACATTTTTAGTTATGTGACTTTAGATACGTGGTTTGCCTTTATAAGCCTCTATTTCAGCCTTTGTGAAACAGAAATAATAAAACCTAGCTTGCAGAGTTGTGTGAGAATTGAGCAAGAAACACACTAGTGCAGTATCTCTAAGTATGTGCTTAATAAATATTAGTCCCTCTTCAATCTATTCCTTACCTCTAAAACCCATCTCCCCCTTCCTCTACCTATCCGAAGACCATGACTTTTTTAAAGACCATCGTACCCTTTGAATACTTGACATATGCAGGCTCCTTGGAACATCCAATACATTGGTGCATGAACTCAGAAATATCTCCGTAAGCTGAGAATTGGGCCTTCTGACCTTGGCTCTGTCATTGACTGCCTTTGAGATGTAGGGGCTCAAGCTTTATCTTAAGTCACGTGGAGCAGTGAATGCTCTAGGAATAGAATCTGCAAAGTAAAATAGGCTATCATATCTCTTCCAGTGGGGCATCTTCACAGAAGTGGTAGGATATTCCTCCAGTCTTAAAGAATGACCATGGTCCTGGCAGTGAATAGTGGGATTGGGGCACAGACTTGGAGAACGTAGAATAATGAGGACCAGACACCAATTCCCTGGGCTCCAGAATCACTGCATCTGTGAAATACAAGTGTGTGACTAGAATAAGAGCTATAAGGTCCCGTCCAACTCTGAAAATTATGGTTATATGAAGAAAGTGGCATTTTCAAAAGATTTCCTGATGGCTGGCTTCTGGTTTCTCTGTCCCCTGTTAAGGGTGTAGCCTGGAGTCAGGCAGCCCTGGGTTCAAATCCCCGCCCTGCACTTTATCATCCATGTGACATTGAGTGAGCCGCTCAATGCTCTGTGAAAATGTGAATACTGCAGTGTCTGGCTCACAGGGACCCCGGAAGGACTAGATGAGTTAATGTACAAAAGCTCTCTGTTTGGTGATGAGCCCCCAGTAGGAGCGTAAGAACTGTTAGCTGTTGCCGCTATTGCTGTTGTTGCCCTTGTTGTGATAATTATTAATTTCAACTACCTCCCCAACCACCCTCCAACTGATGGGATAGATAGCATCTATCAGAGGAATGGAGCCCTGTCTGGTGGTTCCTATCCACTAAACAGAAGGCGTAACCCTGTCTCTGGGTGACATTGAAGGGACCGGCTCTCAGCTGTGCTGGAATCTTACAGCCCCATTATGCAGACAGCAGTGAAGTGTTTTATGGAACCCCCAAAGCAATTAACACTGAGAGCCAACAAATCAACTGCTGCCCTTTGATGAAGATGAACACTTTCCCTCACCCCTTCTTTTCCTTACTGCCTGACACCACCCCCTCCTTCCTACCTTTTGAAGTAGGGAACATTTTTCTTCCTCTGTCCTGGAAATGTGCGTGCCATCCTTGACTCTGAACACTTTTTTATTTTATTTATTTATTTATAAATGGATTTTGTTAATGGCCCTGGGATCTGGGCTGCTCTGACAAGGCACCAGGGCGTTGTTTGGAGCAGTCTCTTATCCCACTGGCGGCTCTCCTCCGGTGGAGTCTGACCAACTCAGCCTGGAGTTTTAAAATAGTTCCCGTGTCAATTCTTGGGGTTTCTCATTTTCTGCTGCTCGTTTATTTTCAAGATTTGTTTTCTTCCTTTTGAGCCAAAAAGTCCACATGTGGCAGTGGAAAAAGAGGACAGGCTTTGGGGACAGGCTGGGCTGAGTGTGAATCCCGATTCTGCCCCGTACTTATCACCTGCTCCAGGGCAAATCATTTTTCACTGCTCTATGAGACAGTTTCTGCCTCTGGAAAAGGAGGCTGGTAGTTGTCCCTATCACATGGGGTTCTAGGGAGGAGGGTTGAGTTTAGAAACGCCACAGACAAGGGCCATAAGAAGGCCTGGCACATAAGAGGCCTGCAGGAATCTTCTTCCTGCTCCATTCTCCTGGACTCACTCAGTCCCTGGCTATCAGTGTCCTTTTCTTCCAAGAAGGACCCCAGAGGAGCTGGCCCTGTGAGGCAGACCAGAGTCCCACTAGCCACGGAAGGAATGACCATCCAGAATTCTCTGGGGAGAAATAGACTGAAGAGGATGGATCCAAAGGAGGAGAACAGGCTTGGAAAGAACTGAGTTTTAGTTAAGCCCGGTTGGACACCAAACCCACCATCTATGCTTCCAGAAGGATGCAGGGAGAGGACCCAGTCTCTCTACCAAAGAGTGTGGGTTCACATCCTGCTACCACGACTTTTGCCTCTGGATCCCTGAGCTAAACATCTGTATTCTCTCCCTGTTCCACAATTTCAGCAACTTTAACCCGACATGAGCAAAGCTGTGGGATTTATTCTCATCCTTTCTCTCCTTCTCTTCCTGGGCTCATGCCCTTCTAACGTTTTCACCTCTCTCACTTGTGTTTTGCTCTAATGTACCTCTCGGCTTCTCTACCTGCCTCTCTCTTTTCTTCCTTTCCTGCGTAGGTATTTTCTGTATGGCTTCCCGTCTTTGTCTGTCTGTCATTCTCCCTTGTTATTCTCTTAATTTCTGTTTCTGTTAATATGTCTCATCTCTCCATCCTATTTTGCTTTGTGTGTGTGTGCGTGTGTGTGTCTCTGTCTCTCAGTCTTCCCCCCTCCAGCCCCAATGTCCTCTTTCCACTCCACCTAGGAAGGCAGATTGCTTTTGCAGCCTGTCTATCCATGTAACTTTACACAGAGCCACGGGGTGAGACCAACTGGGCGAGAGAAAGTCAAGGCTGATTTTCTGTCCTAAGCTCACCCCGGTGTAACAAAACAGAAACATCAGCGCCCGTGCCTGCCCTGTTTAAATTGAATTTTCTTGTTTGTTTCATTTGCTTTGCTTTTGAATGAAAACAAACAAGAGCAGCAGAGGGAGAGGGTCCCAAGAAGGTCTGACAGTGGGGCCAGCTCCTGCTCCCGTGGGTCGTTGGATGCCGAGGGTGACCCCAAGCAGGAGCCTCCACTCAGGGCGAGTGGCTCGGGCTAGGCTGGGTATCTGGGGTCCCTGCCCTTGCCTGGACAGAAGCCTAGACACCCTTCTCGAAGCTGTTCTCCAATTTCCTACTCCTCAAGGTAATTAGCCTCTGTCTTGTCTTGGCTGCCTTGCTTTTCTCTAATCGTGGATGGCTGCCAAAGGGCCCTCAGCAGACATGCCCGCAGCAGCCAGGCCTGATTCCTGGGGTGGGGGGCTCATTCCCACACACTCGGAGGCTCGCCCCGGACCCAGCCTCACCTCCCTGGCTTCAGCTGTGTGAAAGGAATGCCGAGGCAGCCTGGGTACCCCAGCCAAGTGCCAACAGCCACGGTGGGAACAGAGGCTTGGGGGGAAAGGCTCTTTCTTCTTAGCAGGGGTGGGTGGGGTTGGAAGAGTAGGAGAAAAACCAAAGCCCTGGAGAAGGGAGGGAGGGAGGGAGGGAGGGAGGGCACTGTGAAAAAAAGAGCCTAAGATTGGGAGTACGACAGCGATTTTCACATTGCCTTCAGTAGTGCCTTTGGCCGGTTCTTCCTCCTCCCCTGGCCTTGATGTTCTCATCTGTGACATGGGAAGGTTAAATTCAGTGGCTTCTGAGACTTGCACACTGAGGTAGGGATGGAGGCTCCGAATTAAAGCTCTGATTCTCAGTGCCACCAGCACTTTCTGGTTAGTAGACGTAAGTCATGATAATATTTTATTG